GTACCAACTGCCTTTTTATTTTTCAGTTCTCCTATTATGATCTGGAGTTCAGCTGAGTCTACCGGAGTGAAGACTAACGAGTTGGACATAGTTATTCGTCTTAAGACAAAATTTGGATCTTTTTTGATTTTGTTGGCCATTTTCCTACCCATACCTGAAAATGTGGAATTGAATTCGTTGGCTATATCTCTTCTGTCTGTCAACACCCGCCCACTTTCGTCAAAAACGGAGTCAATATATTTGTGGGTTTTTTCAGTTTTACTAATTTCTTGTACTACTTCCCATAATTTTTTTGTATTATGATTGTTTTTTTCTATTCGATCTTTATAATATTTTGATTTAGTTTTTTTATGATAGTGTTTAGTTTATTTCTATACATTTTAAATTCAATTCTGAGTTCAGTATCATCATTTTGTTTATAGAGTTCAATAAACAATATACAATAACTTATAAAATAATGAATAAAAAAGTATTCAATCGACAGAATATGTTGTTAAACATATGTTTCAAATACGTTTTTTCCTACGAACTCCTACGAAGGACAACCCTCAGAAGTCTTGAAACTTGTGCGAGCTAAGAACTAACGAGGTCTTACCTTTCAACGTGTGATTCCTTATACGGGTTGGGCGATAGCAAGTGAAAATAAAGCGTTCAGCCTGGGGCTTGAGCCATCGACTCAGGCATCGGCCGATTGACTGAGTCATCAAAGCAGTCATGTCGAACCGCCCGGCTACCGACCGAATAGTTGAAATATGCAGATGAAATAAATCAAGTGGAGCTGATAGTAATATATAAACGTACTAGCAGACCCGGCCACGAGTTGCTGTGGCTAAGGTTTTATTACATTGTAGTAAACTATTTAGGAGGAATGGTAGGAGAACATCAGTCACGGGGACCACGATGCTTTTTTACATACATTCCATTTGTAATAAAATATGGCGACCTCCATGAGACAGTTTCTACTACAGTTACCCCCTTAGTACAATAAAATCATTATTTACGAACGAAGACGGAAACATTAAGGCTCGTATAAAAATCCACTGGATTGAGATTTAAAGGAGAAGGACTTTGGACACGATTGATTGAAATTTTCGTACAAAAGGATTAATTTTTAAATTCATTATTATTTTTATCCAATTCTGTAATGAATAAGTATATTACAAAGTTATTAGTAAATAATACGTGACACTTAAACTTATGAATGGGGTAGCTAGGGCAGATAGTCTTAAATCTTCAACAATAATATTTATTGAAATCAGTTCAGAAGTTTAGGAATTGGATGATATAAATGAAATACTCAATATAATTTATTGCCCCTCAGATGAATCCATTTATAGGACAATATATAATATAATCATGGAGTATAAATAAAGGCTACTTAAACTAAATATATAAGAAAAATTAACATATTAAAGATTCGACAAATTAAGAAATGAATTCACATATATAATATAATCATGGAGTATAAATAAAGGCTACTTAAACTAAATATATAAGAAAAATTAACATATTGAAGATTCGACAAATTAAGAAATGAATTCACATATATGATCGTATTGAGAACAAAAGATGACATATTAATTAATTATTATTTGAATTACATGACATGAAGACAGTAAGCTAGATGATGCTTTGTTCAATTTTGGATAATATGGTCTTCAGTGGATGGAAATCAATATCGCATTGACTGCAGTGGGTATTATAATTTTCACACATCAAATTCATAGGAGATACTTTTCCAAGGTTGGATTTAGTAAAACGGGTATAGAAAGTGATGTGTCTACGTGTAGTAGCTTAAGGAACGTTGAAGACAATTTGTTCGAGTTACGAGGGTGCATCAATGGAACACTGCAAAATTTTGTACAACATAACAATACTTGATGACATTCTACGTTGCTCCACGGAAGGCAGTTGAAGTAGTGTGGAGTGGTCAGTTCCTCTAGCAGGATACACGCCGTCAGTTCTAAACGCAAGAAACTTCAGAAAATGCCTTTGCACATTTTTCAAGGTTTCCTTATGTATATAATAGAGAGAATACCAAATCAAAGTAGCATACTCTAACTGGGAGCGAACCAGAGATGTATGTATTTTTCTAGCCGATGCCACGACAATATTGGTGTGGCAAAGAAATATCAATCTGCTGTCGAATGTCACCCCTAGATTTTTGAGAGCTTCTTCGCGAAGGAGTATTACATCCTCGAAAGTATAAAAATGCTCAATAATATTGGCATTACGTGTATAAAGGAGCAAAATTTACACTTTTCAACATCCACTGACAATTTATTGATTCGACACCAGTTATCTATCAGGTCTAATTGAGACTGGAGATGAGAGCAGCTCTCTAAACTTGTGATAGATAAAAAAATCTTCAAGTCGTCTGCTGAAAGTTGCCACACGAAAGCTCGGAGGTGAGATCATTTATGAAGACGAGAAAAAGCAGGGGTCCCAGATTGGAGCCGGATGGTGATGAGTATGGTGCAGACGCAAATCCATAATGAAAAACAACATTGATTCTCTGATCCAAATAGGAGTGTAGAAGTTGAGTTAGTGACAGAGTTGAACCCATTTGAGCTATTTTCTCTCGTAAGATGGAGTGACTAACTCTGATGTACATCATATACAGTGTGACCCATTTTTAATGGAAACACCCCCCTAAAATTTGAAGTTGTGAACCGATTTCAATTAAAATTTTAGGGGGGTGTTTCCATTAAAAATGGGTCACACTGTATATGAAAATAGATGTTTGTTGGTTGGTTGGTAAGTGATAAACTTCTACATCGCTGAACCGATCGTGATGGAACTTGATGTGTATGAGTAGTTTTTCATAGAGAAGGTTTCTAGGCTATCAATTTTTCTGTAACACGCCACTAGATGGCGCTGTAGAACAATTCTTTGAAAGCACGCCTAAGTTCGTTGATTCTGATTCTGTCAAAACATTGAAACAGCAGCGATACAGCAACATAGTACTAGTGTGATATGAAAGCATTACACGAGATGAACCTGTGCAGATAAATGAGAATACAATGTGTAACTTGATCTTGACATACGTAAATCTTAGAAAAAATATATGTCTTTTTTGAATAGGTCATTTTCGTGATAATCTTTCATATCATTTGATTTGTGACATGGAGTGAATCGATGAATTGGAATCAATTGAAAACTCAGTTTTTTATTATTTGCGGTGCGATTTGATCACCTCCACGTGTGAACGACCTCAAGTCGTTCGTGCGGAATATCCAATGTGGCATGAGTTCTGTGGCACGTAGTGCCGTCCTGTTGAAACCACATGTCGTTGGTGACCGGATCATCTAATTCAAGACAATAGAAGTTGGTAATCATCGACATATAGTGCTTGCTTTCGACAGTGATGGCCTGGCAAAAGTTGTTCTCAAAGGAAAATGGACCGATGACACCGGCAGTCCAAAATCCACATCAAACAGTGACTTTTTTGACATGAATTGGATACTTTTGGATCTCATGTGGATTGGTATCGTTCGAAATTCGACAATTTTGTTTGTTCACGTACCCATTCATCCAGAAACGGACCTCGCTGAAGATGATTTCTCGATGAAAATTAGCGTGTTTCCAACTGCTCCAGGGCCCATTCAGCCCATTCAGTTTATGGTCATTAACCTTCAGTTCAACTCCTGCACACTCTCACAGACAGTTACAATGTTTTCTGCATATCTTGCGTTTCGTCGACGTACGGGTGTTGGATCATCGTTTACTGAGCCAGTGGCTTCAGATTTATTCAGCACGTTGCAAATAGTCCTCTCGGTATGACGATTTTGATGACCGTAAAATGGGCGCAGCGCGCGCTACGCTGCTTGAACAAAACATCTATTTTGAAATAACAATTTCATAACTTGCACGTTTTGTTGAATGCCATATTCGTCCCTGGTAATTTGGCAAAACAGACTGAAGAAATGACAACTAATTGGACAGATGTAGCTTCAACAAGTTCAATTGTCAAAGTTCGGTCGTACTTGTTGAAATACCCTTTATCTTTGAGGGCTGTGATTAGTTATTGACTTATGACTACGAAAGTATTTTTGTTTTCAACTGTTTTACTTTCAGTTATCAGAACCATCATAAATATATCAATTCAATTCAGAAAAATCCAAATTAGTTGAAGTGACAAAACTTGACTCCGACCCTGGCCAATAAAAATATACAGCTATTTTCTCTACATACCAAAACTGTATACATAAATGAGTCCCGAAGTATCCCAATTCAACATTGACTTATTATTCAATGAGAATAAAAATGTATTTGAAATTGATTGTGTTTTTTATCGTAGTAGTCACTTTGGTTCATGCTATTATTGGTGATAAAGAATGGAACAGCTACAAGGTAGGTTGAATTCAAAAACATTTTAGTCATTAGGGCTTATTTGAAATACGCCTTAGGGTATTCCATTTAAAAAAAAAGCGAGTTTCAAAGTTATCTCGGCAACATCAACAAGAAACCTGAAGCATACATGTCAACTTTCAATTTGGTAACATCACAAGTGTACGTTGTAACATCAAATTGAATATCACTAACAACCATTTCGAAAGTTGGTTCAGTTGGTATTATTTGGGATATTAGGTAATACTACTTTTTTTTTAACCCGAGGGAAAACTGTTCTAATCGATACTGCTTATATATTTGAAAGTGAATGGGGTTGAACTTTCATAGTTAACACTCCCAATGATTTTTATCTTTCTACTCTTCCATCTTCATGTAAAAAATGAGGGAAACTTGCTAAGAAAGAAAAGAAAGCAATTGAGTTTAAAATAAGCTCTTCACAAAGACGGGTAGATCATACATAGAAGTTAGTTTCAGATATAAATTGAAAAGTACGCCCTTTCATATGAATGTTGATTCATACCAAATTCACTTTTAACGATTCAGTAATTTGCCAATTGCCTTCACGAATGCATGTCGTTTTATGAATCATTTTCGTTTATCTTTGACATACATTGCAATTTAGAATGAATAGTCTACATAGGCGCTTTGAATTGCTCCTTCATTGTTGTCTGTTGCTCATTCAGTAATTTCGGGAATTTAACAAACATGAATTTCATATCACATAAAATCACAAGACAGATAGGAGTACATCTCATGGTTTTATTTCTATTACAATTGCGATTGAGAATGAGAAACTAGGAACTTCTAATACAATACGAAAGGAAGGGAATATTTCGTGGAAGTTAGTAGATATACCAGGGTGGTTCCAGAGGTACCTGGCCTGACCTAGAGATGGCGGTAGTTGTTCCAGAAATATCACTTTATTAGAAAGTACATACTCTATAAAGTATATATTTCAAGTTTGAAGACGCTGCGTTATTTAGTATTCGTTTGGCAGCCATCAATAGCGAACGTTTGAGGTGAATTTGTGAAAACGGAGAAAATTTGTCATCCAGCTGAACTGGATTCTACTCGGGGTGAGTCTGCTCCTTCGTTTACAACAGTAAAATATTCGGCAGCGGAGTTTGAATGAGGCCGTACGAGCTGCCAAGACGAGCATCGCACTGTTCGACCAAGTGGGGTGACGATTCCAGAAATGCCGAAGAAAATCCACAAAGCGGTACTGAATGATCGTCGACTGAAAGTGCGCGAGTTAGCAGACTCAGTAGGCATTTCAAAAAGTGTGATACATGTTATGTTATCTGAACATTTGGACATGAGGAAGCTCTGTGCCAGATGGGTGCCGCGTTTGCTCACACTCGAGCAAAAGCAGTGTCATAAAGATGTTTCAATTGAGTGTTTAGCAGTGTTTTACAGCAATGAAGCTGTGAAACATCCATAACCATGGATGAAACATGGGTCCATCATTTCACACCCGTGACAGAAGAACAATTGAAACAGCGGACTTAAAAGGGAAAATCGACTCCAAAGAAGGCAAAGACCATTTCATCTGCAGGCAAAGTCATGGCATCTATTTTTTGGAATGCACGTGTGATAATTTTCATTGACTATCTTAAAAAAGGTGAAACTATCAAGGGCGAATATTATACTTCGTGTTTTCTGTTGTGAACAGAACCTGAATTTATTCATTTACTGTTTTATATTTAGGTTACACTTACTTTCTTTTTCGAATTCAAATATTTACCGAACCCACTTCTACCCTAGGAGTGTGTGTTACTATTTTATGGGAGTGAACTCGCGTCATGAAAAAGACCCGAAACAATTGACTACACAACTGTTTTGTTTCAGCAAAAATTCAACAAACACTACAACAACCCTCAAGATGATGATCATCATCGTTCAACTTATGAAAAGAACTGTCATGACATCAACGAACACAATAAGAGATACGATGCAGGAAAAGAAACCTGGAAAAAGGATGTGAATCAATTCACCGACTTGACAGAGAAAGAGAGCAAGTGGTCACGTGGGTACGGACCAATACACTGATCGATATTTCTGAAACTAGTTTTATATAATAGTTATTTACTATGTAATACCAGATTTTTTTGGAAGTATATGATTTGCAGATATATAATGGTGACATATATTGAACTAGTACTAAATTATCAATAAAAAATAAGATACTGTCTGTAATACTTAACTTGAAGATGTTTCGAACACAGGACTTGGTGTAATGGAACATTCATTTATAAAAATTCTATTGACAGGTGGATCATGAGAATTTTTGATGCAGATATGAAAACATCTGAATACCTGATAATACCACTTCCACATACAACTTTCTGACTTCACTATCATCGCGTCAAAATAGTTACCAGCTCCTGATATGAATACTCAAGCGAAATACGTGTTTTCTAAAGCGTAACGCATGTTGCGGTTTGAATGAGTTATGGATTTCCTTCAAGTAGATACATAAATAGATAGCTTTCGGCTCCCAGTGGATGAGAGGGCTGAGTAACGTTACTGCAGTTTCAAACGAATTCAATGAACTCCAGTCCATTATGCTGTGTTTGCATAAAACTGAATATCTTTATATTTCATCATCTCAATAGCCGGCTAATTGTGCATAATACATTTGTGGATCGAAGTACACGAAAGTTTGCCTTGGGTAAGGTTAGGTCACACTCGACCAAATAAACTCAGCTTCTCAACGAAGACGATTAGTTTGTATGGTGAGTGGTCTTTCAGGTGAGATGGTGGAAGTACGACTCTGTCAAACTCTGAAAACCTGATTTGGTCGCCAGCGGGGTAGGAACAAATTATGTACTGTGCTGTTTCATAATTTTTCAAGCAGAGGCAACACACACTGTCTTCCGACAGTTCGAGTCTCTGCATATGATGATTTAAATGACAGTGACCTGTGAGGAAGCCTATTAGACATCATAGTTCGTTAGTACTGTAGTCCAAAACTGTTTGGTATCAAGTTTCAAAGGGTGAATAAATGCCTTGAAATGAGCCAATCCTGGAAGATTCTGCCAGAAGTTCATAAGTCCTCTTGCCTTCCAGGTGTTCAATATTTGTTTAGGAAAGCTAGAAGCGATGCCAGTGACAAATTCTGGTCCGATGAAACTGTTTGCAGCACCCTCCTTTGCAAGGGAGTCAGCGGGCCTAATTGTCTTCCAGGCCAGTATGGCCAGGAATACAGACCAGAGACAATCTGTTGAGTCTTCCTATCGAGGAGTGTCTTTTTTGGCAATCTGCTAGGTGTTGGATTCTTCCAATCTCTCCGCACACAATTCAATAGCATGCATTTCCACTTGAAGTAATTCTTCTCGAACTTATTAGTGGCTTCATTTCTCAGATTAGTATTTGAATCGATATATTTTTTCAACCATTGTGACTGATCGAATCTGAGAACTCTATGGGTTCTAATCAGTTTTAAACCATTACGAAGCGCCTGTTTCAAATTTCTATAATGAACGATATATTTATTTTTATCATTCAAATTAGGTATAAGTTTGGCTATTTTAGACTTTGACCCAGGCGGTATGATACTTTCAACCAAAAATGGTAAGTCTGAATTTGAATCATGCAATTCAACGGGGTAATGAATATCAACTTCAAGAATGTATCCTTGAGAATTATCATCTGGATACTATAGATATCTAGTTTACTTATTGCATCGGAGGTCAACCTTGTGAACCCGCCAAAAGGTAGTGATTGAGACATGCTATGACCATACAGATTTGTTGCATCCAAATACATGATACATGATGGAGCTTCATTAGGATTATAATTTGGAAGGAATTGATTATTTGCAATGTGCTGTCTCTCCGAACATTGACTAACACCGCCACGTATACCATTTTGTATAGATTCCTAGGCTAGTTTCTAGGTATAGGTTCTATTCTGGGTCTGCGACTGATAACATCTGCAGCAAAACCTGAAGGTGTTTTTGATCCATCTGTGAACTAACGATTATGTGCTCTTGATATTCCCTTCTCCCAGACGATCCAGTCCTCCCCACTCGGGAACAATTCTTCATAAGGTAGTTTGTAGTTGACAGTTGGAGGCATGAGGATCATTCCCAGAATGCCATGACTTCAACGAGCAGTTTGTTGTAGACTGCATTACATTGATTTATACAATTGGCAACATGCACAAATCTATATGCAATCTATCTAGCCTCTCTCTTCAGAAACATGTGAAGGATGTTGATATAGAAATATTTTCATGGCCGCTGACCGTATGGTACTGACGTCACCACTGTTGGCCAGACGAGCCTGTCTCTGTGTCTGCCTGAGTCGTTTTCTGTAAAGCCTTCGGCCCCCAGGCTCCATAAGTGATCATTGATCTGACAATCATCAGAAAAATCCATTGTACTTGTTTGGGACCTGAACCCCAAATTTTATCAAAATCCTTCGGCATGTCCATAGTGTACAGTCTGACTTGTGTAAAACTTTTTCTGAGTGGGCATTCCAGATGAGTTTCTTATAAAGGACAATAGCTGATGACTTCGCCTTAAAGAGTCGTAGTTGTTGTTCTGTTTACCAGCATGGCATAAATCTAGCCAATTATGGTCGATTCTGTGCCTTTCCTAGCCGGGGATGATCCTATAGATTCAGGTAGTGCATTGTCAAATGTCCATCAACGTCAATCGTGCTTTAGAGAATATTACATCTCAGGGCAAGGCCCTGAGATGGGCCTTACCAAGATGACAAGATCATCTGCATGAGCTTGCAGATCTACTTATTTTCTGTCGAGGACATCAAGCAGACTATCATCAAGAGAGACGACAGAAAGGGATATAGTATCCTACCTTGAGGGCAGCCTCTGGTGACCCCGAATCTGATAGCCTCGCCTGGAAGAGTCGTAGTTGCAGTTCTGTTTACCAGCGTGGCATAGATCCAGCCAGTTATTCATTTATTTATTTCACCCTAACAGGCCTGACGGCCTCATTACAAGGATGACTTTTAAGAAATATACATGAATATACAAGCACTTGAAATGATATGTTATATAAAACAATATAATATAACATGGGGATGTGTTATTATCTAACAACTGACAACAAGAAAAATAAAATTAAAAATAAACGAAAAACTAATTGCTGAACTGATAAATTCTCAACATGTTTATAGACTAAAGATCTAAATTTTGTGATCGACATATTCCAATCAATATCTTGCAAGCAATTTATGTCGTTTGCCAGACGGAGCATGATTAGGAGGGGAAATGTGGAAGTAACAGTCACGAAGGGAGTCTTGAACTTAAGGATAGTTCGCGTAGGTCTGGGAGGTACATTAATTGGTAATAGTGACAATAATTCTGCGGAGTTTATATTATTAATAATGATTTTATATATTAAAATTAGCGCAGAGATTTTTCGCCTAGAGTCTACGGAGGGTATATCAAATTGAATTCTCAATTGTGATGTTCTAATACTGTTGTAATCCGGTTCACTACGATATTTCTTATAATATAGGTACCTTAGAAATTTGTTCTGTATTTTTTCCAGCTCCTGTAAAGTTGTTTGGTATTTCTCCATTCCAAATTACGGAACCGTACTCGAGTTTGGAACTCACTAGCGTGAAATAGAGTACTTTTATGGAATCTATGTTACTAAAAAGAGAAGTCTGTCTTGAAATGAATCCTAAAGCTCGATTTGCGATATATCTTATATGTTCAATATGATCATAGGTTATTCCTAAGTCTTTGTATACATGCAGTCTTTTAAGCGATTTGTTATTCATGCGGCAGTCAAAAGAAATGGGATCCTTTCGGCGACGAATTGTCATAACTTGGCATTTTTTTAGGTTGAAATCTAACTTACATCTAACACTTCAAACCAATAAACTATTCAAATCTTTCTGTAGGGCGGAGCAATCTCTGACTGATCTCACCTGTTTGAAAATTTTCACATTATTGGCAGAAAGCAGACATTTTGATTGCTCGATATAATCTGGCAAGTCATTAATGCATAATAAAAAAAACAAGGGCCCCAAATTTGAACTTTGGGGTAGACCTGAAATAGCATGGAATTTGCCTGAGGTATTTACATCATGCCTAACCACAAAATATCGATCCTGAAGATAGGTCCTAAAAAGATTCATGATATTGTCGGATAGTCCAAATCGATATAACTTTTGCAGCAAAACGCCATGGTCTACCCTGTCGAAGGCCTTGCTAAAATCCATGAATATTGTGCCCAGTTGAACCTCATTTTCTAAGGAGTTATTTGCTTCGTTGGTATACAGGGTGCCCCTGGACTTCCTCTTTTCCTCTCGGGAATGTATAGATGTCACTTGAAAAGTTATTAAAGAAAAACATTTTTCATTTTGTAACTTCGAGGGCCCGTAACTTGGTTACGAAGACTTTTAGGAAAAAAAGTTATATGAAGTACTGGTGATATTTTGAACCCATCTATACATTCCCGAGAGGAAAAAAGGAAGTCCAGGGACACCCTGTATAATAGCAGATTTGTGTTGACAGATCTGTTGGACATAAATACGTGCAGTTGCTCAACTAAGGCAACTATATAGCCGCACAATTTAGTATGGATTATCTGTTCAAATAGTTTGAAAGGAGCACACATAATAGATATCGGTCTGTATTTTTTTATATCACGTTTGTTTCCTTTTTTACGAACAGGTGTTTTCCATTGCCTCGGAAAGTTAGCATTGTTGATTATGATATTGAATATGTGGAGTAGTGCGTGACGTAACCATTCATGGCAACCCTTCACTATATACGGCGGGTGTAGTTGATTCTATGCATTTCCTAGCCAGGGATGACCCTATAGATTCATGTAGTGCATTGTCGAATGCTCATTCAATATCAAGAAATGCATCAATCGCAATTTTCGATTCGTCAAGAGATTGGGAAATTTTTTCTACAATCAGATCAGAGATCAGAGTACTTACGTACTATATTTTTTTAACTCAGAACCTAGCAATCAGGTTTTTCTATGGAAAACAATTTTATTGATTGAATATTTCAACTTTTCATACAAACCAACCCATGAAGGATAATTTCCGTAATGAAAGTAAGTTTTAGATATTACACCATGCATAAAATTCAGTTCTTCATATTCCTGAACATTTTTATAGTGAGTGTGCTTTTCAAACAAATAAAACTACTAACTACAGTAAAACTACAGTACGTCTAATCATAACACATTCCGAAACGTGTAGTGCAATG